CAGCTGAGGGGAGCAGCGGGAGGGCCAGGAGAGGTCTGCCACGCCATGTGGATCTCCTCCAGGGCAGGCGGGGATCAAACTCATGCGTGGCTCATAACTCAAACTCATAAGTGACTTTAGCTTCTTAGTGCTGTGCTTTAACCCGCTGCGCCACCAGGGAGGGGCTGAATTTAACACCTTTTTTAATGTGAGAGAATGTTGTTGCATTTTGCCAGGCACTAACAATTACTTATGTACAGTGTTACATACAGTAAGTGTAATTACATACTACAGGTCTGTAGTCTTTAGATGTACAGCGACACGAAAACATGTCTGCAGGTACCAGTCCCGTACCCCCATATATCTAGATCTAACACCTTACAATACTAATGGGGGTGGTGCCGCTGTTGGCCTCACTGTTGCTCTCACTGGGTCAACAGCCCATAGCCCAAGGCACTCCCAGGGTGCCAACTGCAATTATCCCTGTTTGCAACTGTCAATTAGCAAAGGCCCAAACTGTTAAAAGCACCCCTTACGAATTCCCAAAATAACTTTTCCACTTTGGAAATGTTCTCATTTTTGAAAGTATGCCGAGTAAGAAAAACTATAGGATATCTAAAGTTGTATTTTCACCATAATTAGCAATATTCCATTATCAAAAGATAGCACCTTAAATGACGAAATGGGTTATTTGACTAAAGTTTTCTCTATTATTAAGACTTCCTGATCAGGGGCCTTCCTGGTGACACAAGGGGTTAAGCATAGCACTATGCAGCTCTCTGGGGCCACTGCAGCGTGAGTTCGATCCCCAGCCAGGGAGCTGACCCATAGGGCGCAGCAGACCTCTCCTGTCTTGCCCACTGCCCTCCTCAGCAGTGTACTTCAGTGGATCTGCTTGTTCTGCTCCCCACTCTGTCTCTGGTGAAACCTCTAACCACCGCCCTCCGCCAATCACCACTGAACCTCTGGCTTGTACCTCTGCTTGTATGCATAAAGAAAATAAAAATAAAAATAAATGCAGTGGGAGAGACAGGAGAGGTCTCCTGCATAGGTAGGTCACCTGCCTGGCCAGTGATCGAACTTGTGTTGGCTGCGGAGAGCTTCATAGTACCACCCCTTGTGCCATCAGGGAGGCCCCTGAAAAGTTTCTTATATACATAATTTCCAAACACCTTCTTTGGAACACTGCTAAATATATTTTGTGATGCTAACATTACTCTAATATGCAAACCAAACAAGAAAAGAAAATCACACACCAATTGCCCTAATGAACACAGATACAGACGTCCTAGCAAACTGACTGACAATGCCTTAGCAGGATCACGCACCACGACCGAACCAGGGGCAGAAGGGTGGTTCAGCACCTGGAAATCAATCAAAGCGATTACATATATCAACTAAAATGCTGTATCAATGGATGCTGAGAAAGTGTTTGGGAAGATCCAACATCCACTATGATGAAAATCCTTGAAAAAATGTAAATAAAGGGATGCATCTTAACAGAATAAAAGCCATTTACAGCAAATGCACAGCTAATTTTATTCATTCTCAATGATGAAAGTTTCTTCACCAAGATAAGGTATAAGACAAAGATGTTCACTCACATCACTACAATTTAACACTCTACAGGAAGTTCTAGCTAGAGTAACAAGACAAGAGAAAGTATAAAAAGGGAGCTGAATTGGCAAAGAGGTAAAGCTATCATTATCTGCAGGTAACAAGAAAAGATACATAAAGAAGACTCAAGACTCAACACAAGGGCCTCCCTGGTGGCCCATGGTTAAGTCTCAGCACTATCACGTCTATGGCTAGGATTTGATTACAACTAAATTGAGGGTCTCACTTTACATATTTCAAATAGAAAGTCTGTTTTAAAGTCAAAGAAGATCAAATTCATGCTTCTCAGAGAGATTATTAAATGAGAAAGTCATTAGAAGATCATTTACCTTATTAAGCTGAACAAGTCCAAGATCTCTCCACATGTGGAATTCTCAGTACTTCTCTGTAATTCCCAATATTTTGCAATCTGGTCCAAGAAATTCCATTTTACACAAGCTTGTGCCTAAATGAGAAAGAATTGAGTTTTAACCTTATGTAGCCAATCTGAAAGCTCCTATCTTCAAATTGTGCTTCTGGGATTTTCACTCCTAGAATATTTAAGTGCAATGCCACCTCTGAATTCAATAGAGGAGGCTGCTACATATATACAAAATACAAGTGGTTGAATAAACAATAGTTAAGAAAAGTTGACTCACTCTCTAATGTGACAAGCAAAGATTTACACTCATTAAAATCTCCCATGATGTAAACTGATACTCTGAAAGGTTCTTCATTTAAGAACTACTAGATAAATCTTAAATTTTGCGTGATTAGTAAAATTACATGACAAGTAAGTTTCTTTATTCTCATCCCCCCCTTCATCTTTTCTTAATTTGGGTATATTTTTAAGTCTTGTTCTCTTCAAACACATTTCTGGAAATAGATTTACAACTGATTTCCTATCAATTTCAGTGAGTGCTAATACCTTCAAGATAACAGAAGCCAGACTTTCCCTGGTGGCACAAAGGTTAAAGTCTCAGCAATATGAAGCTACAGATAGCCACTGCAAAGCAAATTCAATCCCCAGCCAGGGAGCTGACCACAGGGCACAGCAGACCTCTCCTGTCTCACCCACTGCTCCCCTCAGCAGTGTATTTCAGTAGATCCGCCAGTTCTGTTCCCCGCTCTGTTTCTGGTGAATCCTCTCACTGAACGTCCTCTGGCCTACAGGCGGTTCGTATATGCATAATAAATAAAATAAGTATTACAAATATTTATTCATGCATACAGAACTGGGGTACAGGCTAGACATACAGAGGTGGTGAGAGACTTCACCAGAGACAGAGTGGGGAGCAGAACAAGCAGATCAACCAAGTACATTGCTGAGGGAAGCAGCGGGCAAGACAGGAGAGTCTGCCTAGCCTCCTTTATGGGGCGGGGGATCAAACTCCCACTGAAGCAGCTGCGGCTGGCTTGCCATGCTGAGCTTTAGTGTTGTGCCACCAAGTAAGGCCCTAAAATAAGTTTTTTTTTTTAAAGCTGTCACTTTGAACATGTCAATTAACATGAGCAGTTCCTTATCAATGAAATTAACAGTGGCAGTAAAAGCCAAGTAACAAAAATGCTTTCTGCTGAAACAATGAGAGATGAGGTGGCCTACAGGATACAAGTATGTAAACAAAAGAGGAGAAACAATTACTTCCCAGCAACCTTCTCATGTCATCACAATGGTGTCAACATTATAAACAGTGGTGCAGACTATGGAAAACTGTTTGGAGGTTCCTCACACTGCTAAAAATGGAGCTTCCATTATCACCCAGCAATCCCACTCCTAGGTATCTACCCAAAAGACACCAGAACACTGATTCAAAAAGACACCTGCACCCCCAGGTGCAGTTTTACATAAACTATTATATATATAAAAAGAAAACAGTGGCGCAGAACACTACCTCAGGTCTGTGCTGCCCGGGTTCAAATCCTGGCCCCCATCACTGACCTTGAGCAAGTTTAGGGCTCACTATGCAAACAGGGCCCAGTTTAGTGACAGAAACTCTACAGTCATGACCTCTGAAGGCAACCAGCTCTGGATAACACACACCGAAAGTCAAATGTTTTGATTCCTACTCCAGCATTCTTCCCTGGAAACCTCTATTTTTCAGTTTTTGTTTTTATCTAGCTAAAACTGACGCCCCAAAACAAATTCTCTTGCACCTGAAATCAAAACTAAATCTTGTCCCCTTCAAAAGATATGAAAAAAGTAGCAGCTATGGGAAACCCAGAAAATGGGCCACCATCAAGTACCATCTTGAATACCCCAAACCCACACCCTCCAAGCCAGCCTCCCACTGGAAAATCTGAGAACTTTCACAATTGTCCAAACATGAACAGTGATCTGGAAAAAGAGCCTCTCGAGAAGAGCTCGGAATAGATGGAAACTCACATCATGGAGGCTCTATGCCCTAAAGGTCTTCCCTGTCTCCTCCACACCTCCTCAGACCTGGTCCCATAAATGAGACTCTGGTGCACTGATGCAGAGAGATCAATCCTAGCTCCTCCTCAGACTTTAAGCCTGACAAGGTGAGGCACTGCCATCTGCTTTAAATAGCACCACATGATGGGTAGGTACAACCACACAGAACGCTGGGAGGGTCTGGCCCGAAGAACGTGTGATTATGTGGCTTTAAAAGGGATCCGTTCTTCGCTTCTGCAGCCAGGCGATTACAGTAACATGGTAATGCTCTCAGGATATGTTGTCTGGAGTTAATGCCTTGTATGAATATGTATTTCACAAAAGGCTCAAAAAGCACTAATCCCAGACTTGACTTCTCTGAACATTACAGTTTTTTAAAGTTATTGCCTTTAGGGACGATTTCTGACACACTCCAGCCCTCACTGGCGGCCCCAGACCCAGGGCGCTCTCCACTAGGCCGGTGGGCTGATCCGGCCCCGGCCACCGCATTTCGGCCCCGGGACCTGGGGGACACGGGAAGTGCGCGCGAAAGCTTCGCAGCGCGTCTGCTCTGACATCCCCCCTACTTCTCCGGCCCAGGCCCCGCCAG